GCGCAGCTGCGCGCCCTCGCCCGGCCCAGCCCGCGAGGAGGCGCCGGGGAGCCGGCGTGCGGGGAATGCGGCTCCAGTTGCTGATCCTGTCGGTAATCAGCTGTGTGGGAGGGTTGTGAGGGCCGCGGCCAGAAATCTGTTTTTGTTTTTGCTTTTGCAGCTCCCTCTTTCCCATCCCGGCCCAGCGGACACTGAATTCAATTGTTCCTTTTGCCAGAATTCATAACCCTTCACCACAGAAAACACGTGGCCACATGTCATCCGGCCGGGGACGGCGAGGCCCCAAGTTCACTTGCTGAGCTGAAACGCTGCTTGCAGTATTTCCCCCAAGCCCGGGGTGGCCGTCCGGCCAGGACTTGAATTTCCCTAGTTTTCCCTTCCGTCACATTGCTGGCGCTCGCCACGCCGAGCAGTCACGCAGGATTTCTGAAGGCCTGGACACGGGCACACGCAGGTGCTGCCACCCACCCAGCGCGCATTATAATTTTGTCCTTGCTTAATCCCCACCCGAATGCCCATTTCCACCTATACAAACCCATATTATTCTTTCTGAATCATACATAAACGCCACGCCCTGAGTCGCACATAAAACTCTGCTGTGGTGTGTATGCACCAGTGTGTGCTGCAAGGGCTCGCGGGAAACTTCGTGTCCATTTCCCTGAATCGCTTCCCACTCCCCACACCGCCCCCCGTGGGGCGTTCGCCTAAAGGTTTCTTCTAACATGTGATAACCTCACTTTCAGGATGTTTTCAGATCCTGTTCTGTTCATACATCCTCAACCAAGCTGCAGCCGCAACAGGACAAGGCCGAACACATGTCACCCCACACAGCAAGCCCCCACCTCACGGTTCAGCGCCAGGGCGCTGCGTGGACTCGGGGAGAGCCCATCCGCAGCCGGGCGTGGGGGGCTCCCACCTCCCTGCTAACGCTCCTACTAACAGGAACCAACTACTAAGAGAAAGGCGAGCACTTCTGTGGGTCTACCAGTCTGTGCCAGGGGTCCCTACAGCTGGAGCGTGGGTGGGGGCTGCACGGAGAAAGCGCCAGAAGAGAAAGGCTGGACTCTTTACCGGAGATGGCTTCTGAGACAGCAGCTCCAAGCGAAAGCGCTACATTTATGGGGACTGGAAGGCGCCCTGGGGCAGGAGGCACGAGATTCTCGGGCGCCTCCTGCAGCGCCTGTCAGCCTGCTGCCCCCACCCGGGCAGCCTGTGCTCCGCATGTCCTCCTGTCCTCCGTGCGCCCATCCCTCTGGGCAGGGCTGCTGCCAGCGCCTCAGGGAGGCCCCAGGGGCAGAGGAATGTCCAGGTGGGATGGAATCCCCTGTTGGGGGCAGCTCCGGGCCCCCGGTGGGGCCCTTCCTCTCCCAAACTAACCTGGTCAGAACCCACATGTGCAAGGATAAAATTAAAGCTCAGCAAATACCTGAGGGAAATTTATATCGCAAAAGGCAAGAAGGTCAATAAACAGACAAGCACCCTGCAAATGTTTCACAAAGCAATTGTTACTTAATTTTCTGGGGGATATTAAAAGAATCCCCAGAAATTAGACCATTAATGTCAAGAAACAAGAGCAGGCTACTGGA